CTCCAAGGAGCTAGCTTTCGTGATAGAGCCAAGGAACAAAGTCAAGCGAGAACGGCATCTTCAACAAACCAACGTGAAATCCTCCATCCCAAGCCTGCTTCAAACAAGCCAACTTCTGAGTCTGCCCACTTCAGCACGAAGCCCGGAAGCCCCTTAACTTTACCCGAGTGCAAGCAGAGATGGTCGAGCCTTGCCCCCCGGATCTTCTGATGAGTGATCACAGCCCTGGGCAAGCCAAGGGTTGAGCTTAACTGCATGTGTCGATCACCTTCGAAGGTTGACGGATGGATGAAAATTCTTTACGATGCGAAGAGCGAGCTGAACAGTTGATTTTGTCAGACGAGCGCCGTCGCCTGCCCCGGAAGGACAACGGATGGGTCTGGAGGACTTGACTCCCCGACTGGAACACCTCAACACCAGGAGAGAATGCCAACCCTTTCGCCCCTTCAACGGCTTTGAGCCAAGCTTTGAGAATTCTGGCATTGTGGTGCTACTCGAAAGCCGCGTCCCCTTGCAAAGCTAACGCGCAGCCTGCACCTGCGCGAACCTCTTTTTCCGAAGCAGAACACCGCTGGCGGGAAGGAGCTCAGGATTCAGGAGCTGCGATCCAAACCGCCTTTCTCTGCAAGCCGTGGCCTAGGACACTCTACCAATATGGCCTCTGCAAACATCAACTGCTCAAACCGAAAGGGCGTTACCTGCGCAAACTTGCGCACGAACAGCAACAGCCTGAATAGCCTGAGACCTCTGCAGGAAAATGAAATCCTCCCAAACACCCCACAAAGTCACATCATTGGGAGCCTGTTTCACTACTTCTTTGACGCCTGCCATGGGCCACGATTTTCTACCGAGATGGCCGACTCATGTCCAGAACCAGAAGCTAGCACTTAATGCGAAAACCCAGTGGCACTGACCAACAGAACTTGGAACCTATACAAACTGACATTGGAAGGAATCATTCCTGAGAATGGAACACGCCATTTGAGCACAGCATGTCAAACCAAGCCAGCACCCAGCAATCTGGATCTAGGTAGCATTTTATGAACAAATCCATTGATTTTGAACTCCCTGGCGGCTATGCCGACAAAAAATGTCCCAACAAAGTGCTGGCAGCCACATACACAACCAAAATCTGAAGAACTCGACACACCAAATCTTTTCTGGCATGTAACCAGCAAACAGGATCCCTTGTCCCTCCAAAAGGCACTTGTTTTACTGTGCTCAGACTGCCCAGCTGGAGTAGTTGCAAACAAAGTGGCCTGCAGCAAAACAGCAGCCAAAATCGGCATGATGCGGAATAGCCATCTGGTGGCCATGACCTCATCTTCACACGCGGAATAAGAACTCGTTTTGGGAGTCGACGGTCCATTGAGCTACACTGGGACAAGATCATTACCTGTCAACGCTGCACACACATTCTGCAGGGCGAGGCAGCACAAACATCCATTTGGTCTCCAAAGGCCTTCTACCTAACAAACCCTTGGTTTGCAACATGAAACTCACCTAGCCTTGTGCATGGCTACGGCTTCGGTCGATCGGACCGAAGCGTATACTAGCATGTAGGTTGCCCAACACGCCTGGAAGGAAGACCCAAACCATGCAGACAAGAATCTGTCTACGAAGCTTTGCGAGCTCTGTGAATGCGACCACTCAATGCACTTCGTTGCTGGGGACGCAGGAATGGGTTTGGGATGCTTGTAGATATATGCTTTGTCGCAGAGACATCGTGTTGCTGCTTGAAGGGTTTCCATACTGACCACACTAAGGAGTGCCGAGCCAGACTGTCACCTCTTTGGCAGCTTTCTGAGCTTAGGGCACCTGCCAGGCTCCAGTTCAACCAGTTGGGATCAGCTGGTGCAGCAAGCTTTCCCACACTTTTTTACAAAGGCGTGCACGTGCAGGTCATTCCGCAAAACGGTGCCAGGACAACTCTCTGCAGGCATGCGATCATTCAGATCCGGGAATCTACTATCCCCCAGCACCTGCAAAGTGCTCAGTTGGCCAGCTTGCCCAAATTCAAGCAATCTAATAGCCAAAGGCACGGTCCTCACACAGGAAAGATGGGATCTCGCTGTACGCGTACTTCTTGATGCTGAACCCAGCAGTCGCAAATGATGTAAAGCGTTCATGAAAATGTTCTGGCATACCTGGTCAGACACTCTGCAACATCTAGATTCGGGCTCAAGGAGTTAGCCAATTCAAATGACGGATTGTATTGGCCATCACAATCCACTCCTCTAGCTCTTCTGATGTGCGAACTGCTTTACTGAGGCTGCTGTCTTAAGTGATCGGGGAGTAGCGGCCGCGCGGGGGTTTGGGTCACACAAGTCCCAAGCTCGTTACCGGATCGAGTCTTTACGTCGAGCAGTGTACTGGAAAACAAATGCCGGACAAGCAAGGGACGACAGCATAACCAGGATAACGCGCGCGCTGATGTTGCTCAGGACTTGCTTCAGGGGCAGTCAAGATTAATCGCTGTCGCATCGGTCACTGCTCGTTGAGAAATACGGTTTTCTGCAGCTGTCAGGCAAGATCAGGGTTCGTGCAAGCACCGCAAGCACGGATCCTCTGCCAAAGGACTCCCGAAGAATTGAACCATACAAAACCAGGTCGAGTCCCCCAGACAACAACAGCACAGACGCAAAATGCAGGTGTTTCTCTGCATTCACCCAATAGCAGATTGTCTGAAGCGCACATCTCGTGCACGTGATGTACGAATGGCAATTCTTCGCTTGATTTGCTGCTTAAACTTCTGCGGGATGCAGAATACAGGCCGCAAATGCTTCAGGTGTGGAAAAAAATTGATAACCCAATCTAGCAGGACCCACAATTCCAAAATTGCTGGTTTTTGTAGGGGGCCACAGCAAAAAAAATGAGTAATGACTTGCATCACATCCTTGAGGGACGGCACCTTAACCCAGCCAAGGTGCATTGACGGTAGTGTTCATCACCGTTCTTGGTCAGATATCACACCGCAAAATGGCAAAGCGGACACTGCAACTGAATGTGCCTCTGTTCTTTTTAGACATAAAAAATGCTTGATTCATCACGTTCCACTCCCTGATTCGACTGCCCAACCCTTCTTGAGACCTCCATCCTGCGAAAACTATTCCAATCTCCGCCAACCTGCTAAGGAAAGGTCACCTGTACCTCAAGGTGCCCTGCAGGTATGAAGCAAATAATCATGGCGATTGTCAAAGGTCTGTGTGATCAACTAAGACACTACTTTCAATGCAAACTAATGTTAAAAAAACACACACACGGAAGCAAGAAGCTGAAAGCTAAATGTCATGATGTTATGAACAGGAACCCTCAGACCCAAGAGCACGGAATTTGGTCCAAACCACGCTATGGGTCTGGATACCCCAACACCTGGATCCCATCTCAGACATGGCACGAAGAAGCACAGATTTGTCAGCCCATCCCTGCGCAGATTTTTCGAGGGCATGATCGGCAGGGCGACTGGCTGAAGACGCCTTGGAACTTGGCACCATGCTACTCACCAACAAAGGTATGCCTTTATATAACTTATATACCTCCAAGATCCTCCAAGCCATGACCCACATGTCGACAAATGAACCTCAGACATACATTCGCGATTTCGAGAATTGATCACCTTAGCCAAGTCCTTTGGACGGACTGTCGAACTTCCATTGCCCCCAAACGTGAAAGATTGTTGGGTCGCCATAGTACATGTAAGACCTGCTTCTGGTCCCAACGGAGTAATGAAGAACCCGGCTCCAAACCTCGAATCTCTCAAGACTCCACCCAGGCCATCAAAATTGAGCTGGAACCAAGGCAAGCTCAATCTCTAAACGAGCCAACATGCAAAGTGCCGTGCTCAAATACATAGAAATGCGCTACTCGGCCAGCTTACATGATAGTTCCGCCGTTTGCTCAATCCGAAGCTGAACGAGGCTGCGAAAGAATGTCATGCCTGGAACTTTGAGCCCAGTCTGTTAAACTCAAATCCTAAGAAGTAATGCGGAACAGTCGTCTAGAGTCTAGAGCAGGAAGCAGAGGCGCGTAATCTTCATCAGGCCAAGCTCCAACATGACTTTGAGGGCCTCGGCTTAAAAGTAACATATAACTTTTCAGATTTCTGCTCCGAAGCCATGGGACCCTGAGTGCAACAGGCATGCGCATGAGGTTTCAAATCATATCCTCGACGCACACGTGCATCAACAGCCCCACACCTGAGATGACCTACATGGGGTATAATTGGAGTATCCTTCAGAAAGCACAGTGCTTGCAGGCCATAATGGGTATGACTTCTACAAATCGTCAGGGCGGCTGACACAGCAGGATTTGCCAACAAAGTGCATTTTCCGGATTGCAGTGCCGGGGGTTTTCCGACATCAGGCGCTGGTGCACCTCTTGGAAGCGATTGCGCATGGTGTCCAGAAGGAGAGAAAAATATGTCTGTGCAGCTCCTGGCACACATCTGTAAATTTGGGCCAGAGCTCACAGACAGCTGGAGCTACAAGCAACGTCCACTTCCATCCCTTGTTGCTGCGTCTTGAGTTTCGTCCTCTGAGGCTAAACTCTTACTGACTTGAGGCTATCGAGGTAAAGCAACTTCTGATGACAAGAGAGACACGGGTCGAAGCTTGTGAGGGTGCTGCAACTGATCATGATAGCCGTGCCAGCGACAATGACACACTTGGGGAGGCTTTCATCAATGAGCGAAAGAAATGTCCTCGTCCCTTGATCAAGGCAACCTTGTCATTGATGCCTCCATAGCCAGCACAGTCTGGAGTATAGAACCTCATGCACGAGCATGACTTCCCGACATCTACCAAGCGGATCTCTTAGGTGTAGATGAACAAGATACAGCTGTTTGGCAAAACCCTTCTTTCAAAGCACGCACCCCAGGACTAATGTCAGCGATGGTGTTGAGTTTGACTGATCAAAATCGGAGAGCAAAATGGAAAAGGTTCCTGCTGGTGTTGAGTCGTGATCACAAAGTCAGAATCTGAAAGCTTTTCCTTGATGGTGGTAATTTTGGGTATGCTAGCCACTTAGCTAACGGCGGCACATGTTCATTAAGGAGGCTCATAGCGCTTCTGGCATGCTGCAACATCAGAGCTCACGATGCTTACTTCGAAGCACGCGGGCTTGCTTTTACCTCCCAGCATGTTACAAATACGACATCTTTGCTTCCGGCAGCTCGCTTCTGATACGCCTTCTTGCTTCCTGTTGGGGAGATTTGATCTCAGCTCAGTTGAGAGTGATTCCTCACATTGTCTGAAATCCACATTGAAGCAGTCCGAAAAGTTTAGATAGCTGTATGAAGATATTTTTCTCATGCTTCGGTTGCATCGGCGGCAGCAGCCCGCACGGGAACTTAAATGCTCAGCAAGGGTAATCATAGCCATTACAGGGACGAGGCTCTGGGACAGATGCAAACCAAAGCTGTGGCAGCGACCCAGCACAAGATACCTAACGCATCCTAACGCGGCGGCCTGCGAGATCTGCAAGCCTGCAGAGAGCACTCACTGCCTCACCCCTTCCAGATCGAAGAAACTTCAGGTTTCTTTAGAGCTCAATTTTGCCAGATGACTCGGCCGAAGCAGACGAGAAATGCTAAGCTGAATCATCAGGTTCAGGACTGATGAATGCCGGATGATACAGTACTTCACAGATAGAAATGCGGCATGATGGCTGTGCCTTCAAATCCCACTTAATCTAATGTACTAAGTCTTGAGCACTGCTCAAGCTTGGCCCAAAATCTTCACACCAGGAGCCGGTTCAATTCATCCCAGGAACCCGTCGTCCAGCAGCTCCCTCTGCAGCATCCGCGGCTCAAAGCGTTCCATCACTGCGCTGTCATCACCTGAACTTTTGTGGTTCCAGGAATCTTGGCCTTTAGAACGTTGAAGTGCAGCAAGCGCAACCCAATCAGTGGCAAGAAGGCCTGTGGATTGCAGGCTTTCCTTTTAGCTTTGTCGAATTGGAATCTGACACTCTAGATCTTGCAGTACGCCCTCTGCGGGTATTCAGGCTGCACAGCGTGCAAGAGAAACCCTGGAAAGACAAGTTGGTCTAAAGATTGAAGTTGTTACCACGTTGCCACAGTTCTATTTACCTGTCATTACGTGTACGTAGCCAGAAGCAAAGACTGTCACTTACTTCATGAAACCCTGCATCAAGTGGCAATGCACATGAACATGTACATGTCACACGGGTACATACAGGATTGCGTAGAAGATGCTTGACATGGCTTAGCCTGTGGTATTCTTGCAGATCCAAGGCCCTTAGGCATAGCTGGAGCTGAAAAACAAAACTGCGAGCTGAGAAAGCATAGAAGCCAAACCCACTTGTGCAAATGCTGCCAAAAACGCCATGTCAATGCCTGGACATTCGCGAACTATGCTGAACCCCGATCTTCAGCGTTGGGGGGGGGAGGTCCTGACACCCTGCTTCCGCAATGAAAAGCGAGGCCCCCATGTCACGGGACATAAGCTTGCAAACAGAAAGCTTCAGCTCACGCTGCAAGTCTCAAAGTTTCAAAGCGCAAGGGCGCGGCCCGAACTCCAATCCGCAAACTCTCAGGCATCTTAACAACCTCTACATCAAATCGAAACCTAGCAACGCATTCTCAAGGTGTAGTTGGCATGGCTCACAGGACCGCTTAACAATTGCCCACATCGCTCGAAGGCTTCCCACCTCAATTGGTGTCGCGGCTTTCTTGCATTGGGCTTTGGAAGGTTTGGGTGTTTCATTGACTACATTTAAGACTCAAAGCTCAAGTTTCGGACTGCTGGGCTGAGATGTGAGGAAAAAAGCTCATGCAAACACGCACAAGCACACCAGCGTTTCAAAATACTTTGAAGTCTTGCCCCGGCCGGGCAGCTGCCGCATGTGCGACTTCGCTCTGCTTTTGGCATATTCCAAACCCATTTCCGGCCGCTGCGAGTGCCTGGGTACTTCTCTCTCAGACGTATGCATCAATAGAAGGGTAGACGGCTCAAGAATCATGACCTGCATCTAGGCACAGGTCTTGGATATAGAGCTCATTGACCGAGAAGTCTTTTGGGATGAATGCGTCGCCGATCAATGTAATGCCGGATGGAAACCTGGAGTTTGAGTGTGAACGGATCTGTCAGCGCAGAGTTTGAGCGAAATGGAATGTGATGACAGACATTACCAGGGCCTACGATGCCGGCCAGAAGGGCTTCCAAGTCAAAGTTCTACTTGCAATGCATACTGCAAGAAGCCTTTCACTTTCACAGCGTAGTATAATGGGGGCATTTCAAGCTTGAGGACTTTGGCACTGCTAGGAGATGGCACAGTGGTGTATGTAGACTCAGAAACCTGGCTGGATTTCCACAGCTTTTTGCTGCACAGTGTATCCAAGTCCGCGATCCAAGTGCCTGGAATTTGCATGAAGTACTCCAACCTTGGCAACTGCGGAGTATCCGCATACACATCTGCAGCTTGGCAACATCTGCACGGTTTGCTGCAGGCTTGTGAAATTGCCAGCAACAATTGTGAAGCCACCGTAGGTCTCTCCTGCACGGATGCACAACCCAACTGGCACCAATGTTCTCGCAAAGAGAAGCAGGTAGCAAGTCAGCTTGACTGACCCCCAAAACTATTGTTTCAAACTGCTGGCTACCGCGGCCAGATCCCCCCGAACCCCTCAAGGCCTCAAGGTGCCAGCTCAGATGCTTAGGGACTGGACTCATAACTCCACAGGCAAGCACCACAGAATTGTCTTAAGGAATTGAAAATACGTGGATGCGAGCAGTACGTCACATCTAGGTGCTTCCATTTATAGAACGATAGAGCCAACAGTAATCATTCAGGAGATACTCTGATATTGGGCCTCCTTTACACCCCAAAATAATGACGTCCTCCCTCTATGATTCTGCGAAACTCAATATTCATTCTTTGAACTCCAGCAAAGACATGCAGGCATATGCCTCAGCCTGACTCAGCCTTATAAAGTTCAAAGCAAGGGATATTCACCAAACTTTGCAAGGCGAGGCATACAAAAGACGCGGATGTGTCCCCTCAGTTATTGTAATACGGGTCCGCATATTTGAACTCTAAGTACTCAATCGCGCATTTGCCGAGAAACCCAAACGCATGGTCACTGCTGTTTGCTCCACAAAACAACACTCCAATCTGGCGGTGGAAATCGCAGAATCACGTGTTGGTTTTAGTTGACACCGAATTCTTGCAAGTGAGACCTCCAAGAAAAGCCAGGACGTTTCCCTAGAGCAAAAGTTGAGGTAGAGCTCATCATCCTGGATGTTGCAATGAATTTTGTCCGATGCATGAAGCCATTCTGGCTTGCCCCCAGGGCTTTGGATCTTATGTCCGAACGTGAATTTGTTACTCGCCATATCGGAACATGATCAGACACAGTGTCCACGGCAGTTTTCTTCGTTAGTGCCTTGCTTTCGTCTGGCCGCTTCCCTTTCCAAGGTGATGAGTCCGGGGTGGGACAAAATCACGTGGCACACCTGGGGTGATTTTGGGGACCTCTGTCCCTTCTCTTTAGCCCAAACGAGCGCTACAAGCTGCCTCGCCCGATGGCAACAAAGAATGAAAGCGCGCACACTGTCAACTCACGTAGTCAAAAGCGCCGCTGGCTAAAGAGTCTCCATTGTCTCGCTGACGTTGTACCATTTGTACCAAGATTTGGCATCAAAAGCCCCAGAACTACGCGCAGGTCTAGGCTGACCAAACCGATTCTTGCGGCCGGCTGGGTCTCCACCAAAATCCTTAGGGCAAAAACCTGCCAGTCCTGAAAAGGGCTGTGGTACATGCATGACAAACCAAGGCAAATAAACGCGTTCATCCGCAGTAGAACTCTGCCCGGGAAAAAGGCATCGGCGCCGGGAGCAGCCGGCGCGGCGAACATACAACTCCCGCCCCACACATCTGCACCTGCAGCACCGAAGCACAAGCATCACCAACATACGGCCAAATCAGGAAACCGTCCACTGATCCTGTCTCCCATGCTGAGCCAAGGATACTGTCCATGCTGGCTAGCCACCATTGCCTCTGCCAACGCACTTCTGAGATACAGCACAAAACTTCACAAGCCGGAAACACATCGCACTTTGCCCTGACTTTCCACGTGCTGCTGCTGATGCCAGCACCATTGCCGGCTCCAAAAGCCCATGATTGAACATCCTGGAGCGGTCCAACCTTATCTTGAACTCCTGGATTCCCAAAGTTGGCAGCCAAAGTTCAGCCGCAGGACCTTGCATCCCACTCATTAACTTTGGTGAGCGCCAGCCCAGCATATGGCAGGGCAGAGGCCGAAAGCTAGACCCTGATGGGAGAATGCAGATTCGTATCATCCTCAAGGAACAAGGAAGCTTGCCAAGTCTCCTCACACCACCGTAAACAGGAAGAGGCAATCAACAAAAGTCCAAAACACCAGAGGCTCACATGTTAATTCCAGCAGCCAGGGTTCCTCTTCCCACGTGCTCAACCCAAGACCCAGCCCCAGGCAAGGCATAAGTGCCAGACCAAACTGGGTGAAGGAGGGCCTGTGCAGAACGTCTGTACCCACACGGGCAGGTGACGAATCTACATTCTACTCACGGAGCCAGCGTTCTAGCTATGAGATGAAAAGCTTAGCGGGGAATAAGTGCAAAACTGGACGCGAATCCCATTCCGAGCAAGACAGCCACGCGCGCCGAGGAAGACGCACCCCATGGGTCCGCGTGCGATTTTGGAAGAAAAAGTGCACATCTAAGCACACACTTCACCCTGCGGTCGTGGCGGTAGGGTGCACCACAGGATGGCATGAAGCAGATGTAGGGCTCGGGGTCCGTTGTGCACGGTGCCCTGCCGCCTCATCAATTTTGGCTTTCACAATGAAATGTTGGATTCTTGACCATTTTTTCAGTGGATGCGGGCTCAGTGACTTCGCGGGCTGACGTCATAGCGCGTTCGCGCAATGCGCCGCAATGCGCTGAAATGCCCTGGCATTCGGGCATGCGCTGGAATGCGCTGGAGTTCGGGCATGCGCTGGAATGCGCTGGAATTCTGGCATGCGCCGGAATGCGCTGGCATTCGGGCATACGCTGGCATGGGTTGGAATTGGGGCATGCGTGGGAACGTGCTTAAATTCGTGCGTGCGATAGCA